GGTTTTATGAGACACATCATGATTATAATGAAAAGGGAGAGGGGAATCATTTATCTCATCTTGAAAGGTTCCTCAACATTCCCATATAAAGAGCTGTGACCAAAAAAAACCCAACCCCACCCACCCCACCCCCTGCACTGCAAAGGCAAGTTTGCTGATTTGGGGAGAATAATTTTTATTTATTCATTCATTCATTCATTCATTCATTCATTCATTCATTCATTCACATTTATAGCCCGCCCTTCCCAGAAGGCACTCTCCGATGGGTTTCCTGCAGCCCACAGGCTTCTTTAACAAAGTATGTTTTTCTCCAAAGCAAAGAGACGGTCCTGGGTTTCCTCCCCTTCACTGGAGCAGGAGGCAATTCGGAAGGACCCCGGAGGTATCATCTTTGTAGCTGCAGGGAGTACCCATTCGGAAACAGCCACCTCCATCGCAGATTAGTATTTGGCTTGGAACCTCTCAGTGTTTCTCTGTCTGGCCCCAGTGCCCCACGGCAGCCATTTTGAAACTGCCTCTCCTGCGGCGGCCATTTTAGGCAGCACCCACTCCCCATTCTCAAAGTTCCAAAAGGCTAGACAAAACAGATGACCCTGACGTAAAGAATTCAATCTCCGTCTGGGGAAACAAAGGGCAGAGAATGACAGGCCCAGGTCAGAGAGCAATCAGCACTAGTTTTAAGGCTAGCAGTGACCAAGGGAATTGGGTGTTTATTTAACAGAATTATCAGGAGTTTCAAAGCCATTAAGACCACAAAACTTTCTGGGGGTTAACAAGAGATCATATCTGTCCGGAGTTTTCTTGCTAGAGTGCAATGCCTCTGGAGGAACGGCATTCCCTTGTTATCTCGCAGCTCTCCATAAAAACTATGTCACAACTGTGATGGAACGCACAGTGCTCGACACAGCTTTTGTTTGGGGAATGGGGATTCTCTGAGGAAAAGGAAGCGGCCACATGAATCCAGCCTTCCTTTAGCAACCTTGTATTACAGCTACCCTGACTCCCAGTCTTTCTGCGCAAGGAGAAGATAAAGCACAGAATTCTCAGCTGCAATGGGGAGAAATATTACCTCAGCCGCCGCCTTCAGCTTCATGCTAATGTAGAGATTTGAATCATCCCGATCGCCAACCTTGAAAGAAAGAAAAAAATGGTCACTCGGGGGAATTTGGCTGTTTTGTTTCAACCTATTTTATCCTAATCTCCCTCCAATGAGCTCAGGGAAGAGTACATGGTTTTTCCCCCAAACACATACCCTGTTTGGCCTCACAACTGCTCTATGAGGTAACAGCTGGATGCAAGTCCAGTAGCACCTGACAGATAAGAACATAAGAGAAGCCATGTTGGATCAGGCCAATGGCCCCTCCAGTCCAACACTCTATGTCACACAGTGGCCAAAACCCAGGTGCCATCAGGAGGTCCACCAGCAGGGCCAGAACTCCAGAAGCCCTCCCACTGTTGCCCCCCCAAGCACCAAGAAGACAGAGCATCCCTACCCCAGACAAAGTGTTCCATCTATACTTTGTGGCTAATAGACCTTGTGGCTAATAGCCACTCATGGACCTCTGCTCCATATGTTTATCCAATCCCCTCTAAGATGAGCTAGATTTTTGGGGTATAGGCTTTCAAGAGGCAAAGTTGCCTTTGTTAAACATTTCATCAGATATCTGTTGAAGGGAACTTTGACTCTTGAGAGCTTGTATCCCAAAAACGTTTGTTTCCAAGGTGCCACTGGACTTGAATCTACCTCTCTACTGCAGACCAACATGGCTACCCTCTGAACCTGTGAGGTAAATTAGCTGAGGTAACAACAACTGTCTGTCTGTGAGCAGTGTGACAGAAGACGGACTTAAACCTGGTCATCCCACATCTTAGTCTGACGTTCTAGCAAAAATACTCGCTTGTAAGAACATACAAACATAAGAAAAGCCATGTTGGATCTGACCAATGGCCCATCCAGTCCAACACTCTGTGTCACACAATGGCCAAAACCAGTGTTTTTTCACAAAGCTCTGTACAGCTGACATTTAAAAAAAATTATTTATTAAATATGGGGCAGCCAGGCACTGACCATGCCTAGATTCGGTTAGCTACATCGGCACCATCTACCCACAATTCCTTCTGTGGACTCAGCAAAAGGAAAGGCAATAGACCTGATTCACACGTGCAGAAAGGTAATGAGGCAGCAGAGCACCAAAGTGGTAAAGGGGACAGAACCCTTTTAAAGTGCAGGTGGTGGGCTTCAGCTTTGAATGTTCTTTGGCACAAAACCTCCTCGCAGGGAGAAAATGAGCACAGTGGAGAGAAGTTCCACCCACGCCCCTCAGCTTGCGTAAACTGGGTTACTCTCCACAGGGAGATTTTTTAATCCTTGCCTGCATTCCAAAAAGTGAATATCTGTAATCCCCCTGCAGTCAGAACATTCCACCGCCACAGGAACCGGCCTCCTCGTTCCCTTTCGCATGTGAACCCGGCCTTAAACTCCAGTATTCAGAATCTTTTCCTGCTCTCTGTTATTTCGCACCATAAACCAATTCAGAAACCATGAAAATCATGTATGACATTACTATAAAAATAAATTTAAAGTAATAAAGTGTCTATTTACAAAAAGTCAACACGATTGATACTTCTATAACGGCAACATTTATCCACAGTCAAAATTACTGACATACAAAGTACTTCATAGAAAATTAGAAAAGTCCATTCCAACCATCACAAATAATGGTCGGTCCTTGAATAAAGCGGAAATACATGACGTCCATAAATGCAAGAACTACTGAAATAAGATTATTCTTCAGCTCAGACTTCCTTGAGGGTCATGAAATAATGATAAACCAGGATCATTTAACCGAGGCATTCCATATTGGCTGTTTCTCGAACTCTCTTTTTCAAGAGCTGACGATCCTTTTAATAATATGGCCAGTAACAACTGCTTTCGACAACTCTTTAAAGACGGAACGCAGACACACTTCCGAAATTTCCAAGTAACAGATCATTCACTACAGCTCAGGTCTGACGTTCGCACCGTAAGGCAACATCAGGAGTTACTTTAACAGTTCTCGAGTTGAGAAACACAGATGTGGAATTCCAACTGGAGACAGGGCTGCAAACCTTCAGGTGGAGTCTGGAGATCTCCCAAAATTACAACTGATCTTCACACAACAGAGATCAGTTTCCCTGGAAGAAATGTCTGCTTTGGAAGGTGGACTAGATGGCATTATAGCCTGTTGAGGTCCCGCCCGTCCCCTCCCTCCCCGAGTTCCACTCCCAAAATCTCCAGGAATTTCCCAACCCAGAATTGGCAACCCTGAGCGGAACCTGCCCGAGGGAGGGGAGTTTTGGCGGGGAAATGGAGGCAGAGAAAAGGTTAAGCGCCTCTGTTCTCACCCACCACTTTTCCCCAGCACATTCCCTCTGGCTTTCAGACCCATTTCTGAAAAAGAAGTCATGGCCTGGGAAAAGATGCTTAAAAATTTGTGTGTGTGTGTGGGGGGGGGGTGTTGCTGATACCTGCAAAATCGCAAGTCCTGGCCTGAATCCCGGGGCTGTCTCCTTCAGGTTCGCCACTTGGTTCTTCAGTCTCTCCCGTACTTGCCTAGAAAGGGGGCGGGGGCACAGGAGAAGAGACAGAAAGAGCAAATTCACATCACAAATCCTGACGCGGGAATACCGAGCACAAAAAAGGACTGGCAGTATGGTTGTCAACCTCCAAATGAGGCCCGGAGATCTCCCAGAAGTACACCTGATCTGCAGACTGCAAAGATCATGGAGAAAATGGCTGCTTTGGAGGGCGAAGTCTATGGCGTTGTACCCTGCTGAGGTTCCCCCCCTCCTCAAGCGCCAGCCCCAAAAACTCCCACGTATTTCCCAGTCCAGAATCGTCAACCCTAACTGGCAGTTATGTTTCTACGAGAGGAATCAGATCTGCAATATGCATCCTTTGATCAGGGAAGACCTAGTTTATGGTGTAGTGGTTAAGAGCAACGGACTCGAAACTGGAGAACCGGATTTGATTCCCCATTCCTCCTCCACAGGAAGCCAGCTGGGTGACCTTGGGTCAGTCACAGTTCTCTCAGAGCTGTTCCCTCAAGAGAAGTTCTCTCAGAGTTCTCTCAGCCCCACCTACTTCACAGGGTGTCTCTGGTGGGGAGAGGAAGGGTAGGCAAGTGTAAGCTGCTCTGAGACTCCTTTGAGTAGTGAAGGGCATGGTATAAAAACCAACTCTTCTTCCTCCCTAATTGTATGGGTGGGCAGTGCTAACTCGGGGTGAAGCAAAAGCACTCTGTATATGCTTAGGAATATTCATTATCATTACTTGAGGAATCCTCCAAAAATTATACCATATATAGGAAAGTGGGTAATGGTAACAAAGGAGGTATTAGTCAAACAGACCTTAGAAAAGGCCTTTAAAACTGATTGTATATTCTATAGCTGGCTGCCCTGTAAGACTGAGATTCTGGGTTATGTTGACAAAACTATCCAATACTGAGCTAGAAAGAGGCACACTTCAAGAACTTTAGGGCTTTTCACAACTACAAGTTTTCAATAGACTTTTACTATGGTCGGACCTCCCAGACAGAGGGATAATGAACACAGCTTCACAGGAAAACACCAAAACTATTAGTCTGACTTATGTGACAGCAAAGACAATAAAAATGCCAGAGAGTATGGACTCAGTGTGATTCATTCATACATACTACATCAAAAATCACATGCTTTAAGCAGCAGTTGCTGCGTTTATGAGATATATAAATATAAATCCAATCTCCTCCCATAAACATATGCACTCCCCTCACTCTCTCTCTCTCTCTCTCTCTCTCTCTCTCACACACACACACACACACACACAGGATTGTAAGCAGTAAAAAAGTGTTGTAAATAGATGTGGTAAAAGATATTGTAAAATGATGTTGGTATGTTTTATATTTAAAGAACAATATCTGTTTATATTTGTTAAAAATGTAAATATATTGTAAGGTTGTGCATGCATTTTGGTGTTTTTAATCATTTTTAATGTTTTGTAATATGGTTAGTAATTTAATAAAAATTTACTATCCCCAAAATTTATTATTCCATCCCCAACTCAAATAAAAATCAAGTTGCAGTGCCATCTGGTGGGCACAGGGTGTAACTGCAGAAAACAGAGACTGGAAGGTTGAAAGCATTTCCACCTTTAAATCTCGGCAGTACAAAGTTTTAGTCCGATGGCACCTTTAAGACCAAGAAAGTTTTATTTAAGGTGTAGGCTTTCATGTGCAAGAACACTTTCCTGGACAAAACAAAACAAAATTTCTTCAAGCCTTACAAACAGGAAGATGGGAGGGGGTAGAAGCGTCAGAAAGGACCAGTCAGAGTTCAGATGCATAAGTGAAGCTGAGATTGGATCAAGGCGGCAATCCATCCCCAACTCAAATAAAAAATCAAGTTGCAGTGCCATCTGGTGAGCACAGGGTGTAACTGCAGAAAACAGAAACTGGAAGGTTGAAAGTATTTCCACTTTTAAATCTCGACAGCACAAAGTTTTAGTCCGATGGCACCTTTAAGACCAACAAAGTTTTATTTAAGGTGTAGGCTTTCATGTGCAAGAACACTTTCTTGGACAAAACAAGACAAAACAAAATTTCTTCCAGCCTTACAGACAGGAAGATGGGAGGGGGTAGAAGCGTCAGAAAGGACCAGTCAGAGTTCAGATGTGTAAGTGAAGCTGAGATTGGATCAAGGCGGCAAGATCGATGAATGGCAGCAAAGTACCCGCCTAAATCTTGACAGTGTTTGATTAAGTAGTTACAGGGATATGAGAAGGCAAGGCTGTGAAGCTGAAACTCCTGTGGAGGAGCGCTAGGTACCATTTAAAAAGTAAAAATGTGTAGGAAGGTTGGTTCTTCCTCTTCCACTCTTGCTTCCTCCACTTTTAAATGGAGTTAAAAATAACTCCACTTTCCCGTGCCGTACACATTCAGGCACACAGGTCAGTTCTCTCTTCCCCTACTAAACAGAATCTTAGGTAAAGGTAAAGGTTCCCTTGCTCGAAAGCCAGTCGAATCCGACTCTAGGGTTGCGGTGCTCATCTCCGTTTCAAAGCCAAACCTAAATTTGGACAGTGTTTGATTAAGTAGTTACAGGGATGTGAGACGGCAAGGCTGTGAAGGTGAAACTCCTGTGGAGGAGCGCTAGGTACCATTTAAAAAGTAAAAATGTGTAGGGAGGTTGGTTCCTCCTCTTCCACTCTTGCTTCCTCCACTTTTAAACGGAGTTAAAAATAACTCCAGTTTCCCCTGCCGTACACATTCAGACACACAGGTCAGTTCTTTCTTCCCCTACTAAACAGAATCTTAGACCAGAGTTTAACCCCGGTTTAAATTCCCATTTAGCAGAGAGGAAACCCAGCTGTCTGCCTCCGTACATCACAGGTAACTGGAGTTACTTTTTTCCCCGCATGAAAAAAGGGGAAAGGGGGAGTGATTCTGGCCACCAGTCAGGGTGTGTGTACATTTTTAACCTATCTGCAGTTGTGTGACAACAGAATGAAGCCAGCATTTGATGCTAGTGTCCAGGAAGAGATTTCAGACTTTTCCCCATGCAGGGACCGCCTCTTCCCATATACGCCCCAAAGAGCGTTACGCTCTATGGACCAACATCTCCTGGTTGTCCCTGGCCTGAAGGACGTCCATCTTGCCTTGACCAGGGCCAGGGCTTTCTCTGACCTGCCCCAGCCTGGTGGAACAGTCGAGATTAGGGCCCTGTGGGATCTTCTTCAATTCCGCAGGGCCTGTAAGACAGAACTGTTCCGCCAGGCCTTTGGCTGAAGCAGCAGACGTCCCTATATGACCTCCCTGACATGGTTGTCACCCACCTACCAACCCAAATAATAAGACAGGGACAGTGTTCCCTCTAAGCTGAGTTAGTGTGAGCTAGCTCACAGTTTTTTAGACCCTGGCTCACACATTTTTGTCTTCGCTCAGGAAGGATGGCTCCAGAGCAAACTAATTTCTGCAGCAGCCAAATCTCTCACTCACAACTTTAATGCCAGTAGCTCACAAAGTAGAATTTTTGCTCAAAAGACTCGACAGCTTAGAGGGAACATTGGCCAGGGAACCTCCCACAACCAGCTGACTTGTCAGAATTGTGATTGTGTTCTAACGTCTATTATTGTTTAAATGGTTTCATTTGTAATTGTATCTTTTTATAAAGTTTTATTAGATTATATATAGAAAGGGGGAAAGGGAGAAGAAGGGAAAAGAAAGAATACTGAGTTATATATATAAAAAAGCCAATTTGACATTCTGCATGCAAATCTTCTCATAAAAGTTTCACAACTATTATATCCATCTTTCTTATTGTTCTGAATTTAGTTTCTCAGTACTTATGCTTTAACCAGTCATAGAACACCCTCCATGGTCCCCATAAATTCTTCTTCCGTTTTTCCTTTTAGTATATTTGTCAATCTGTCCATTTCAGCACATTCCATAATCTTCGTTATCAACTCAATAAGCGCTGGGATTTTCAGTGTCCCCCATGTTGTTGCAAACAGGATTCTAGCTGCTGCTATAACATGTAACGTAAAGTATCTATGGTTCTTATCTAAGTCATCCGGTAAACAGTTTAACAGAAATATTTCTGGTTTAAAAGCAATTTTAATTGTGTTGATTGTATTGTTTTATGATGCTACCCGCCCTGAGCCCCCACTCACGGGATGGGCGGGCTATCAATACAAATAATAAATTATTTGGCGGTGCCGCGCGCTGAAGAGACCGCCAAAGCTGGAAGACCTGCCCCTGCCCCTGGACACCGGAGACGAGATGCCGACCCCGAAGACCGCCT